GGCTGCGGAAACGCCCCGTTAATTATCCCCCCCTGCTGTAAGCCGGGGGCTCTGAAAGCTAGAGCCCCCTTCCCCCTTCGGCTTACAAGGCGAGTTCGGGGCTCGCCTTTCGGAGGGAGGCAGGATGGACCCCAAATAGATATTAACCTGGGTTTATAATGTTCTGGGATCATTGACCAGGGTTCATAATGTCTCGCCCAGAACATTATAAACCTGGGTTTCAACGTTCTGGGATTATTGACTGGGGTTCATCATGTTCCCCCCGGAACCTTATAAACCGTGGTTTATACAAAAACATATTAACCTGGGTTCATAATGTTCCTGGAATATTGACTGGGGTTTATAATGTCCCGGGAATACTGAACCCGGTTTTCGTAATTCCGGAATGATAATACTAATAATTTCCCCCCCCGGGTGGGTTTCCCACCAGGTGTGTCATGTCGCAATATGGACCCCGGTTTTTTATTTCCAAGAGATAATAGACCCGGATTCGCAATGTTTCCGGAATATTGTCCCCAGGTTAATTATTCTGGAATGATAACCATTGAGCCTGGGGGGCGCCGTTTGAGAGTACGTTCCGAGCTGACATAAACCTTGGTCCATTATCTTGGAATATTAAAATTAGGTTGATTATTCCAGAAAGATAATGATTCGGCCGGGGGGGGGCTGCGCCCGATCCATTAACAGGACAATAATCGGGTATCATCTGACGATAATGAACCTAGGTTTTCATTCTCAGATAATAAACCGCGGTCGACGAGGATTTCGCACCTGCCCTCGAGGGAGGGGGGCTTCTGTGCGAAGCAGGGGGTCGCAAATCAAGAGGGGGGGCGAGGCTTCTGACGCCCACGCCCTTTTCGGGGCACGGAGCGCCCACGAATTCGGAGTGCGCGATTCGGGGCCTCGCGGGCCGCGAAACAACTTGCTTGATCACGCGCGCCAGGAGGTCGCCGCGGGCGCCGCAGAGGGGATCGGGTCCCCCCCCCTGCACGGCAGCCTCAAAACGATTGCTTTTCGCATAGGAGTGGGGAGAGGGATCGTACATATCCGAGGCGACGATTTCCCCCCTCTGACGCTGATTTCTGACGTGCCACAGTCGTCGTCGTCACCGTCGTCGTCGTCGTCGTCGCCGTCGTCTGTCGTCGTCTGCCGTCGTCGTCGTCTGTCGTCGTCTGTCGTCGTCTGTCGTCGTCGTCGTCGTCGTCGTTGCTTTGCCGTCGTCGTCGTCGTCGTCTCGTCCTCGTGGTTGTCGTGGTCGTCATCGTCGTTGTGTTGTCGTCGTCATCGTCGACGTCGTTGTTGTTGCTTTGTCGTTGTTGTTGTTGTCGTCGTCGTCGTCGTCCTCGTTGTCGTCGACGTCGTCGTCTGTCGTCATCGTCGTCGTCTCGTCTTCGTGGTCGTCGTGGTGGTCGTCCTCGTTGTCTTGTCTTGTCTTGTCTTGTCTTGTCTTGTCTTGTCTTGTCTTGTCTTGTCTTGTCTTGTCTTGTCTTGTCTTGTCTTGTCTTGTCGTCGTCGTCGTCAGCTGTCGTTGTGGTCGTCGTCGTCGTCGTCGTCGTTGCTTTGTCGTCGTCGTCGTGGTCGTCGTCGTCATCGTCGTCTTCGTCGTTGCTTTGTCGTCGTCGTCGTCGTCGTCGTCGTCGTCGTCTGTCGTCGTCGTCGTGGACGTCGTTGTCGTCTTCGTCGTTGTAGTCGTCCTCTTCGTGTGTCGTCGTTGTCGTCTCGTCGTCGTTGTCGTCGTCGTCGTTGCTTTGCCGTCGTCGTCTTCGTCGTCGTCGTCGTTTCGTCGTCGTCGTCGTCGCTGTCGTCGTCTGTCGTCGTCGTCGTCGTCGTCTTCGTCGCCGTTGTTTTGACGTCGTCGTCGTCGTCGTCGTTGCTTGCTTCGTCGTCGTCGTCGTCTGTCGTCTGTCGTCGACTGCAGCATGAATGGCAGCGCAGCACCCGTCGTCGTCGTCGTCGTCGTCGTCGTCGTCGTTGTCGTCGTCGTTGTCGTCGTCGTCGTATTCGTCGTCGTCGTCGACTGCAGCGTGGCTCGCAGCGCAGCACCCCCCTTCCAGGGCATTCGCAGTGCGTCGTCGTCGTCCGTCGTCGTCGTCGTCGTTGTCGTCGTCGTCGTCGTCCGTCGTCGTCGTCGTCGTCGTCGTCGTCGCTCGTCGTCGTCGTCTTTCGTCGCTGTCTGTCATCATCGTCGTCGTCGTCATCGTTGTCTGTCATCGTCGTCCGTCGTCGTCGTCGTCGTCGTCGTCGTCGTCGTCGTCGTCCGTCGTCGTCCGTCGTCGCCGTCGTCGTCGTCGTTGTCGGTTCTTTGTCGTCGTCGCCGTCGTAGTCGTCGTCGTCGTCGTCGTCGTCGTCGTCGTCGTCGTCGTCGTGGTCGTCGTCGTCGACTGCAGCGGGACTCGCAGCACAGCAACCCCTCCCGAGGCATCCGCTTGATGTCGTCGTTCGGCGTCGTCATCGTCGTCGTTGTCATCGTCGCCGTCGTTGTCGTTTCGTCGTCGTCGTCGTCGTCGTCGTGGTCCCGTCTCGTTTCGTCTCGTCTTGCCTCGTCTCGTCTCGTCTCGTCTCGTGTCGTGTCGTGTCGTGTTGCGTCGTGTCGTGTCGTGTCGTCGTCGTGTCGTCGTCGTCGTCGTCTTTCGTCGTCGCTGCCTGTCATCATCGTCGTCGTCATCGTTGTCTGTCATCGTCGTCGTCGTCCGTCGTCGTCGTCGTCGTCGTCGTCGTCGTCGTCGTTGTCGTCGTCGTCGTGTGTCGTCGTCGTCGTTGTCGACCACCACGGCGGGCATGCGCAACACCTCCACCCCACGCCCATATGGAGCATCTGCAGTTCGTCGTCGTCGTCGTTGTCGTGGTCGTCGTCGTCGTCGTTGGCGTCGTCGCCTTCGCAGTCGCCGTCGCCATTGCCGTCGCCGCCTCCGCCGCTGCCGCCGCCGCCGTCGTCGTCGACATGGTCGTCGTCGTCGTCGTCGTCGTCGTCGTTGTCGTCGTCGTAATTGCCGTAATCGTCGTCATCGTCGTCGTCGTTGCCGTACGTAATCGTCGTCGTCGTCGTCGCCGCCGTCGTCGTCGTCGTCGTCGTCGTAGTTTGGAGGGGGGGGGAACGAACGAAGAGCCCTTTCCGCCCTCCTCTGCTGCTCGTCCCCCTCTTTCTTTTCTTGTTTGGAATTGTGTCAGCACCGCCCACCTTCTGAGGCGCCTCTTCCCATCGCCTCCTTTTTCCCTGTCTGTAGGCATGTTGGCCCATCCGCTCGCTATAGCGGAGGCGCTGCTGTCCCCCTCTGATGAAGCGGCGCCGTTTGCGTCGTGCTTGTCGCCCTCCTGTTTTCTGCTGGGCGTCGGCGCTAATCACCAGCACCGCTACCGTGTGTTTCCATTTGGCGGGCATTCGTCGCAGCATGGGACCAGAACGCGGAATATCTTCTAGAATCACAGTTTGGAAATGGAGCTTGCGCAGGGAGCAAGGCAGCCAACTCCTCGCAGCCCGTTGGCCCCCAAAAAGGCTGGCGGATATGGCTTTGAAGCTGGGGCAGCGACGAAATGCCCAGCGGTTGCAGAAGACTCGGCGACATATGCCCCAGACGGTAGCTGCGCGCGCCGCGGCGTGCGACCGACGCGTCCGCGTCGACGCAACAATTCACTCCCAACATCGGTGCGTCGTTTGAGAGCAGCGTCCACATCGGCAGACGCGGCCACGCCGCCGCCGCCAGCGATGACGACGACGATAGCGCCACCTCGCTTGCTCTGGTGCCATGCGGTATGTCCCAAGCGGAAGTGGGGCAGTTTTGGGCGGAGTGGGCACGACGATCCACGCGCGCGGCGGGTGCGCGCATGGAAAAGGCCCAAACGATTCGGAAACGCCATTTTCTCTACAGAAAAGAGGTAGGCGCGGCACCCCGTCACAACGGAAGTCGCCGAATGACAGAAGTTGCTTTGCAGTGAACGCCAGAATTGGACTTCAGGTGCAACGAGACCGGCAGAACGGGACGGCTCAAACAAATATAGAGGTACCCTTTGTTTTGGACGCAACGCGCGACTACGCAACAACGGCAGCAATATTGTCAACCGTCACTGGGGATCTTCAGTGTGAATGAGGGGTGTGCTATCCGATTTTGCAGGAAAAGCTCCAAAAACGAGAGATGAGCTTGTACAGGATGCGAGCGCCTACGTCAGGAGGCTTCCAGGAGTAATCATGCTGCTTATTGCCAGAAGAATGGGAAGGTAACTGGCCCTGAAGGCCGCGTTGGCCCTTGGGCTCTGTGGGCCCCTGGCCGCAATATTCCGCAGGAGGGTCAGGCATGGGCCCCCTGTGGGCCTTTGATGGTGGCCCCCATCCAGTTCCACAGTAGGTCCCGTGGGGGCATTGGGGACAGGTTTGTTTGTCTCTCGGGCCCCCGACGGGCACGTGGACGTGGCTGTATGCAATTGTGGCGATTGCTCTGGCTGACTTATTTGATGACCCGTTGGGTGGCGGGCTCCTGCCTGCTTGCAAGTTGGGGTGCGTGAGCCCGGCGCCAATGCGCGCATGACGCTCTGGCGCGCGTCTCTCGAATAAGGGCCGCCACGATGAATGTGCCAACTCGTGCGCGAGGGTGTTGCGGGGAATTGCGAGCAGCGTGACGGCCACTTGCGCAACTGCTTTGGTCTCGTGGCCGATCCCGCGAGCTGCCCCTGCACATCTCCTGACTGTGCATCCCCCTTTCGCGGGGGGTGCTGTTAGGGTGGTCAGCACGTGGGCGTGGTTGTACGCAGATATTTATATTGCTCCTGCTGACCAACCGGCGGATCCGCTGAATACCGGGGCCCTGCCTGCTTGCGACGTGGGGTAGGCGAGCCTGGCGCTGGCGCGCGTCTGCCGACAAAATGGATGCCGTGAGTACGAGGGTGAGCGGGAGCAGGAGGGGGACGACGCGGGGGAGGAGGGGAGAGCGAACAGCAAGAAAAAAGGCGATGGGAACCAGGGGGAAAGCAGCGGGAGGCCCTGCCTCTACCACCGCCGCCCGCCGCAGGCCTCCGGGCGCCACTCCCGAAGGGCGTGTGGCCACGTTCGCGGGCTCGGTCGGCAAGGGCTGCAGCGTCACCGGCACGGTCGCGGTGCACCAGGATGCGCGGAGCCTGCACCCCCAGCACGCTCGGACCGCGAAGCAAGGTTCGACTTTAGGAGGCTACCGCTTTTTGTTTTTTTCTGGGCCTCCCAGGAGGTTTTCGTGGTCACGGTTGGGCGCAGCTCGGGAAACTGGCAGAGATGGACCCTGGGGAGGGGCCCCGCGGCGTCTCTCGAGAAGGGCAGCGGGCTCGTCAGATCTTCGAAACCTTTCGTCGACATCCGAGAGGTTTCCCCTGAACTCTTCGAACCCTTTGAACCCCCCACACCGTTTTGGAGGGGCCCCCCCTTCGCGCCCCTCGGCCCACCCCTCCGCAGCGCGCCGCCGAACTCAGGTGCACAGATTCCCGGACACGTTCCCAGCTCCCCCGACGAGAGGCCAGAGACAGGGAAGACCAGCAGGGCCAGAGGCCGCCTCTCTCCTCCATTCGCCCTTGCCCCCCTCCCCCTCCTCCTCCTCCTCCTCCTCCTCCTCCTCCTCCTCCTCCTCCTCCTTCACTTCCTCCTCCTCCTCCTCCTCCTCCTCCTCCTCCTCTTCCTCCTCCTCCTCCTCCTCCTCCTCCTCCTCCTCCTCCTCCTCCCTCCTCTTTCCCGCCCTCGTGCGCCCCCCCTCCCCCCTGCGTGCCGCCGGCGACTGCTCGGCATCCGGAAGCGGAAGGCGTGGAAGCAGTGGGCGCGCGCGCGAGTTCGCCGCCTCCGTTGCGCGGGCTCCGCCATCGGTGGGGAGGAGGTGTGGCGGAGAGTTTCTTTCCGAGAATCGGGCCGAGCTTAGGAGGAGGAGGACAGAATGGGGAAGATGAGGAGGAAAAGGAGGAGGAAGAGGAGGAGGAGGACCAGTGTAAACCCAAGATTCCTCAACGATATTGCAAGAAACCCTCCCTGCGAGTTCCCTCTTCATGGGCCCCTACAAGGGTTCCTTTTCACTGAGGGGTTTGCACCGTTAGAGGACAACCGTTCTAAAATCCAAAACTGCAACGCCGCGAATCACCGTTACTGTTGCGTCTCGATGATCACGAATCGTGCCAGAACGACAACCCTCGAACTTCAGCACCGCGAGTCAACATGTTTTTAGCGCCATAGCTTTCCGACATCTTGCCAAATGACCTTTTTGGGGACGTTAACTATGCGAATCCTTAGAACTACTACAAGCTCTCAACACGAATGTGCGTGGCGGCGCAAAGGCGAGAACCACATTTTGAAAAGGAACCGCCCCATATCCGTGCAGCTCTTGCACCTTTTAGGATCATGGGCACGGTGCTAAGGCGAGAGCTACATTTTGAAAGCGGACCGCCTTCCATCCGTCAAACTCTTGCAAACTTTGAGACGAAGGTGCGTGGCGCTAAGGAGAGAGCCACAATTTCAAAACAACGGCCCGCCCTCCACCCGTGAATCTCTTGCACACTTTTCAGACAAAGGTGCGCGGCGCTAAGGCGAGAGCCACATATTGAAAACGACCCGCCCTCCATCCGTTAAGCTCTTTCACATTTTGAGCTTCGGGATCAGAATGGCGAGGAAGTCTCAGAAGAAACGCTTTCCCGCCCTTCGACCAGCCTCGGGATGCGACACGGAGGAGTAATTGTCAGGAAAAGGGATGGAGGAGGAGGAGGATGATGATGATGATGGTAGTGATGATGCTGATGATGATGATGATGATGATGATGATGATGATGATGATGATGATGATGATGATGATAATGCTGCTGCTACTGCTGCTGCTGCTGGTGGTGATGATGATGCTGATGATGCTGATGATGATGATGCTCATGATGATTATGATGATGATGATCATTATGATGATGATGATTATGATGATGCTGCTGCTAATGGTGATGATGATGGTGGTGGTGGTGATGATAATGATGATGCTGATGATGATGCTGTTGATAGTGATGATGATGATGGTGATGGTGATGGTGGTGGTGATGACGATGATGCTGATGCTGATGATGATGATGCTGATGCTGATGCGGATGATGGCGATAGTGATGATGATGCTAATGATGATGATGATGATGATGATGATGATGATGATGATGATGATGATGATGCTGATGATGATGATGCTGATGATGATGCTGATGATGACGATGATGCTGCTGCTGCTGCTGACGATGCTATGATGATGATGATGCTGATGATGATGCTGCTGGTGATGATGATGCTGATGATGATAATGATGATGCTGCTGCTGCTGCTGATGATGATGACGATGATGATGATGATGATGATGATGATGATGATGATGATGATGATGATGAGGATGATGATGATGATAATGATGATGACGATGGGAGGAGGAGGAGGAGGAGGAGGAGGAGGAGGAGGAGCAAGAGGGAGAGGAGGAGGATGAGGAGGAGACGAGGAGGAAGATAACGAAGAGGAGGAGGAGGAGGGGAGGAGGAGGAAGAGCAGGAGGAGGAGGAGGAGGAGGAGGAGGAGGAGGGAGGAGGAGGTGGGGGAGGAGGAGGATGGGGAAGGAGGAGGAGGAGAGGAGGAGGAGGAGAGGAGGAGAAAAGGGTAAGAGGAGGTGGTGGAGGAGGTGGAGGTGGAGGTGGAGGTGGAGGGGAGGAGGTGGAGGTGGAGGTGGAGGTGGTGGAGGTGGAGGAGGAGGAGGAGGAGGAGGAGGAGGAGGAGAAGAAGGAGGCGGAGGGGGAGAGCTTACCGCCTTCCAGTTCGCACTGCTTAGGACGACGATTGATAGCTTCAGAGCGTTCCAGAACGCCCCCCGAGAGCTCCGCTGGAGCTGCCTCGGCGCCCGATACATCCTCCAGACCAGTCGGCTCTCAGAGATCCTCGATTTTCCGCGGACATCTTTGTATGCACCGTGCCGCGTTGGCGTCGCCCGAGGCAGGAATTGTACGGTGCATGGTTTTGTTTGGCCTCCATGGCCGAAAATTTTGCACCGTACCGCGTTGGAGCAGGGCCTCAACGGAGTCGGCACGATGCATGGGTGCCCGTTCTCTTAAAGTTGCCTCGCTCCGATGTACTTCCTGTCATCGTCTCATCCTGCTGCTCTTCCTCCGCACCCTGCTCCCGGAGCGGGTCCTCCCCGCCTGCTTCGGACTGTAAGAGACGGGGTTCGGTGCAAATGGGAGTCAGCCAGATCGCCGGATCTTGCAGGATCCTGCAGAGCCAGGGGTGCAATGACCCGGGTTAGCGCGCACCGTCGTCACCCCAACATACTAATATTACGTGTGTGTGGCCCCCCAAAAAAGGGGCGACGCGCGCGCCGATAGTTCCTGTAGTATAAGCTCCGTGGTGGACGCATTCTGACCATACCGCTCGGGAATCGATATACTACAAGAGGGTTGTACTATATGTTTGTGTCGGACGCACGCCTCCGAGGAGGACACATAGTACTGGTATGTCCTTGTGCGTCCCATTGCAGGATCTTGCAGGATCCTGCAAAGCCCGACTGACTCGGGCTTGGATTGACCCGAATCAGTCGATCTCCCCGACTGCTCCGCGTGCGGCTGCGGGAGTGCGTAGGCCGCGCGGACCTGCCCGGCGCGAGTCCGTCCTGGCCCTGCGCTGCCGCAGGACGACTCGGACGAGGAGGACGTAGACGCGGGCAACCCGGCTGGGCCTAGGGAGGATCCGCCCCCCCCCCCTCCCCGAGCCGCCCGGTCGCCAGGGACGGAGTGGGAGGGCGAGGAGGAGGAGGAGGAGGAGGAGGAGGAGGAGGAGGAAGAGAGGGAGGGGTAATAGGAGGAGGAGGAGGAGGAGTAGGAGGAGGAAGAGGTGGAGGAGGAGGAGGAAGAGTCAGAATAATAATAGCAGCAATAGTACTAGTAGTCATACCCATGATCGCAATAGTATCACTACTATTACTAAAGCTAGTACTAATTATCATGCGGACATATTCATCTATCGTAATGGTAATCGTAATCATACTAGTAATATCATTAGTACTCGTAAGAGTATGTGTAATCGTATTAGTATTAGTACTAGTAAGAGTGGCAACAACAATATAAGTAATAGTTGCAGTAATAGTCGTAATACTATTTCTAATTGTGATACTAGTAGTAAGATTAATGTCAATACAGATCGCATTAGTAATCATAGTTGGAATAGTGATAGTACTAACAACATTAAACTATCACGTTGCTATTCGTAATAGTAATAGTAATCGTATTAGTAATCTTATCAGTGATTATTCCAATCCTAGTAGTAGTCGTAGTAGTAGTAGTAGTAGTAGTAGTAGTAGTAGTAGTAGTAGTAGTAGTAGTAGTAGTAGTAGTAGTAGTAGTAGTAGTAGTAGTAGTAGTAGTCGTAGTCGTAGTCGTAGTAGTCGTAGTCGTAGTAGTCGTAGTAGTCGTAGTAGTAGTAGTAGTAGTAGTAGTAGTAGTAGTAGTAGTAGTAGTAGTAGTAGTAGTAGTAGTAGTAGTAGTAGTAGTAGTAGTAGTAGTAGTAGTGGTAGTAGTGGTAGTAGTAGTAGTAGTGGTAGTAGTAGTAATAGTAGTAGTGCGCATAATGGTACTAGTAGTAGGAGTTTTAACAATAATAATAGTAACAGTGCAAGTAATAACAATGTTCTTAATCTGATTATTGTTAAACTAATTGTACTAGGGCTTGGATGAGTAACACTGGTTATGTTAGTACGACATGCGAATCCTATGGCTTACAGTTGTATTATTGATGGTAGTACTAACTAATGTAAGCAATTTTCGTACCCAGAATACCCGAACCAGTAATTATAACAAGCGTCATAGCGTGGATAACTGGGGAGCACTGTAAATAATCATAATGATTCTATGAAGGCAGTTGTTAACAAACATATTATGAATAATACGAGGAGGATGATTTAGACGCGGGCAACCAGGCGGGACCCAGGGAGGATCCCCCACCCCCCACCCTGTCGCGTGATCGCCAGAGGAGGAATGGAATGGGATCGATGACTCGCTGGAGGAGGAGGAGGAGGAGGAGGAGGAGGAGGACGAGGAGGCGGAAGACGAGGAGGATGTGGGTATCTTGGAGGTTCTGCACGTCCTTTCTGATTGCAGCTGGTCTCCTCGACGCTGCGTGCTTGCTCGGGGACTTGGCGACGAAAGCACCGCTTGGCGAAGGTATCGCGTCAGACCGGGACGGGGACCCCACACGGTGAAACTGGAGACAGTCGCGGAGAGTCGTGGCATCGCGAGCGGCGAGACGGCGGCGGCGGCGAGCGGTCACGACGACAGGGGGAGCATGCAATGACGACGGCGGCGAGCGGCGGCGGCCGCGAGCGTCGACGGTGGGCGGCGAGCGGCGACGACGGCGAGCGGCGCGCGACGACGGCGGCGAGCGACAACGTCGCGGCGCATTGGCCAGGGCAGCTGCGACCGGCGGCGCGGCGCCGTCGGCCTCTCCAATGCACCCAGCGTTCGGCCGCGCCTCAGCGCGGCCTGTCGGCGCGGCGGCGGCGGCTGCCGCCTCCGCGGGCGACGAGGAGCTGTACCCCCCGCCGCCGGTGCCCGCGCCGGGCGCGCCGGAGGGGGCCCCGCTCCTGCCCGGCCCGAGCGAGGAGCGGCGCCAGGGGGGGTGGGGGGGTCAGAGAAGGAGAAGGTACCCATACCGCCACCGTTCGGTTTTTTTTTCCTCTTGTTGGACCTCTGGGGGGGCCCTCGTCGCCACCGCTGGATTCGCCTCGAGATTCTGGTCAGAACGCACCCCGGGAGAGGTTCAGGAGGGTAGCGGAATCGGTGCATTTTGATTTTCCCATCCGTGGGTCGGGGGCGGCCAAGAGGGGGGTGATGAATAGGGGGGCGGATCTCATGGCGGGGGCCATGCGTGGTGTTTTCCCAGATCTCATAGTCGCCTCGTCTTCTTTGAAAATGTTCACTCCCCCCCCCTTGGCCGCGCACATGCCTCGGGGCATGACTTGCGAACCCTCCTCTTGGAGGCCACCCTCTTAGACGCTCACGAGGGGGGAGTCTAGGCCTCCCAGATGGAGTCGAAGCAGATAGGGTCGGATGATCGCGCCGCATCGCCGATGCATCGGCGATGCGGCTCGATGTGAAGCCCGATGACAATCCGATGAAATTAGCAAGAGTATCTTTACGATCATCGTAGTCGTCGCTTTGCGCGGGGATCGCAGCCGCATCGACATCCATCGCGGGCCTAGCGATCCGATCCAAACAAATACGACCAACAGGTGCGAGGGGCTCATATTATTATATAATATAACTTTAGCCGTATGGGGGAGTGAGCTCCTGGGCAGGCCGATGGGGGTCTCTAGGGGGCCCCACTTTCTGCTCTGCAGCATCTTTGGAACAGGCCCCCTCTTCGAGGGCATGCATTCGCGGCCGCCAGCCACCGATTTTGCTGGCGTCGGGGTGCCGCCACCTTCGCCTGGCGGGCCGCCGGGATCTGCGGCGGCGGAGGTGCCGCCGCCTCCCCCGTTCGGCCCGCCGCCGGGCACCGCGTACGCGGCGGCCGTGTGCAGTTCGGGCAGCGAGCCTGGGCCGGAGCCAGCGGCGGCCAGCTCCAAGTGGGGGCAGTGGCCTTCGGCTGGCTGCTGCGAGGAGCTCGGCGGGGGCGCCGAGCAGCGGAGCGGCAGCGGCTGCTCCAGCGGGCCGGCGTGAGGCGGCTGCGGCGGCGTCCCTGGCTGCGAGCCGTGCGGCGGTGCTGGTCTTGCGGCGGCACCCGGCCCAGGTGGCCGAGCAGTGGGCCCCTGGGGCCTGCCCCGTGCTCCTGGAGCAGCACCCTGTGGCAGCGCCGGCGCCCCCGCCTGCGCGCCGCTGTGCCTGGTGCGGGGGCCGGCTCGGGCAGGAGTTCGCTTGGCCCGTCGCGAGCGGGGACCTCGTGGTGCCCGCCTGCGAGCTGTGCTACCAGCTCGCGCTGGCGCGGCAGCACGCGCACTGTGCCCTGCTCACGCCGGGCGAGCGACTGGCGATCCTCCCGCAGGCGCGGCAGGTGACGGCCATCGTCGCCGCGCTGGTCGGGCTCTCGGACGAGCGGCCCGCCTGAGGAGCGGGCGCGATGCCGCCGAAGGCCCGAGTCCGAGGCGGCCGAGGGTGCGGCCGCGGACGGGCTGCGGCTCGCGGCGGGGCGAGGGGCCGAGGCGCTGGCGCCGCCGCTGGACGTGCAGCTCGCGGACGCGGGGCGGCGGCGGCTGCGGGGGGGGGGGGGGGCGCCGCCCTGTTCCCGCCTCTGCTGGGTGGCGCCCACGGGCCTGGGATCAGCGCCGCCGGTGGAGCCAGGGCTCCTGGTGCAGGCGCGCTGGTTTGCGGAGGACCGCCGCCCCTGCCCCCGGGCCCGGCCACCTGTGGACGCGGCTGCGCGGCGGGGCTAATCCCGGCGGTGCTGGCAGCAGCTCAGGCCGGCGGCGGGGGCCCTCGCGAGCTGGCGGCTGGCCTGGCGCAGATGGCGCGCGGGCTGGGGGTCGGCCTCGATAAGGCTCGTATCCTCGCGGCCATGCAGGCCATGCAGGGCGCCGCAGCCCCAGCGCCTGCGGCCGTGCCGGCTGGGGTGCCAGCGCAGGTTGGCCTCGGCGCCCAGCTTGGGCCCTTGCGGCGCCCGCCGGGGGACCGCTTCCTGGGCCTGCTGCCGCTGCCCGGGCTCGCAGGAGATGGAGCGATGCCCGCGCAAGGGGCGGTCGGAGGCGCTGCCTCCGTCGGCCCCTGGCGGGGGAAAGGGCTGCCCCCGTAGGTGCTGGCGCAGGTGGGCTTCCAGCCAGGGGCGATCGTCGAGGTGCCCGCGCACGACGCGGCGCAGGCGATCAGTGGGACTGCCGCGCTGCGCCTCGAAATGCTGTGGGCTGGCGATGCGTTCGGCACCTTCGGGGCCGCCGATTTCGGAGGCGCCTCCGGTCCCTTGAGCACGCTGCAGTTCGACGAGGCGTGGGAGGCGGCGACAGGGGCTCCTCTCATCCACTTGTGCGCGGGGCCTCGGGGGACCTGCGCCGCTGCTGCCGGCGCGCGGTCGGTGTGCCACGTCGAAGTCATGGGGGCGCGAAGCCTTCTGCAGGTGGTGGAGCCTCGGGCCAGACAGCATGCGTTGCTGGGCGCAGCCGCAGGCGACGACCCGCTCGGGGCTGCCCGCGGCAAAGCAGCCCTGGAGGCCAAGGTGGCGCAGTTGCGCATCGCGCTGACGAGGCACCAGGACGGGGGCACCGATCCTCTCGGCGCAGCCGCCAAGAGGGCCAGGACAGGCACGGATACCAGCCTCACTGGCGACCTCGGCGACGCGGAGTCGCTTTCTCGCGATGGCCCCTCCGGCTCAGTGAGCAACCGCATCCAGCAGGCAGCGCGCCAGAGACCGGGGGCGCTGCTCGAGTCGGGACTCAGCGAGATGGCTCGTTTCCTGGGCGAGCGGGGGGGGCGACCACATCGACGGGCAGTTCGGCGCGCGTGGTGGCGTACTTGAACTCGATCTTCTTCGGGCAGCGCGCGCCGATCACGATCTCCCAGCACTCGGCGAGGGAGATGAGGGCCATCGCGCGCGCGATAGATGCTTTCCTCGAAGGACGGCTCCCAGGGGTTGGGGATCCCTTCGCCCAGAGGTCGAGAGCCTTCGAGCTGAGCGCGAGGGACAAGGACTGGGCGGTGACCAACCAGTTGGAGTTGATGGACGATCAGCCGGGCATCGTCTCCTTGGCCGAGCGGCAGGCAGCAGCGCAGCACGCGGTGCTCCACGCGCGCCTCGCCGAGCTGCGGGCCAAGCCGCGGCCGGCCACGGGCGCCGGATAGGGGCTCCGCGTGGGCGAGGAGCGAGGGGCCGCTCCTCCCCTGAGGCGACCCTCTCCCGCTCGCGGAGCCACCGCGAGCGGGGCCAGCTCCGCTCCGCTCGGCGCGAGGGGGCCGCCGTGGGTGACCAAGATGAGGGAGCGCCAGGCCGGTCGGAGGGCAGACCGCCGGCCCCCGCGGCGGACCTCGCCAGCCCGGGGCGCCCCCCCGAGCAACGGCGCCCGCCCGGGGGGCGCAGCCCCTGCAGCGCGGGTCCACTTCGCATCGGTGGCGGAGGCAGTCTCAGCGGGCCAGGGCGCTGCTGCGGGCGGGGTCAGCGGCAACCCTGTCAGGAAGGCTTCGATGCGCGAGGGCGGCAGCTCGGGGCCCCAGGATGACAAGGTCCCTCCGTGGATCGCGAGGCTGCGGCCCCCACGCCCGAAGGGGCGCGAGCGCCCAGAGGAGAGCCGCGACGGGCAAAGGCGCCAAAGGCAAAGGTGCAAAGGGCAAGGGCAAGGGCAATCACAAGAAGGCTTGAGACCCCTGCCGCCCTGGCGCGGAGGCGCCGCAGCTCGGCCCCCCCTGGCCGCCTCTCGGGCGCCCGCCGTTGAGGATGCCGAGGTGCTGACGTCGGCGCTGGGACGACCGGCCAGCGGGGGCATGGTGCTGGGCAGGCGGCCGAGCTACCTCCAGTTTGCTGCGACTGAGGTTGAGCGCGCCGCGCTGCGCCAGGTGCCCGAGGTTTTCCTGAAGCTGGCTCGCCTACCCCCGACGAAACTTGGCGAAGCTGCGCGTCGACTGGCTCGTCGCGTTGTCCAATGCTAAGTTGCGAGGCCTCGGGGCAGCATCGGCCGAGGAAGTCCAGGCAGTGAAACAGTGGACTGACGTGCTCATCGTCGGCCTCAACCACCCGTGCGCCAGCTGCGCTGCCGATGCAGAGCGCTGCGTCCATCGCGGGCCGCCGACCCCGGCGCAACTGCGGCCCCTGCTGATGTTCTTGAGGTCGGCGCTGCTATTCATGTCGAGGAGCCCCGACCCCGTAGGGCCTGTTCACTGGGCGAAGGAGCTCGCCAAGAAGCGCGCGGCGCACGTCGGAGAGGAGGTCGGGGCAGGGCGCGCGGCCCGCGGCTCCGCCCCAGGCCGAGATCTGGGCCGACGGCGGCGCGTGGGAGGACTTGGCGCTAGTGTTGTGGCAGCGGGGGCTCGGGGCCCATCGAGCTCAAGGGCGTGCTGCACGTGGGGGACAAGCTAGTGCTGCGCGGCGCCTTTGGCGTCCGAAAGAGAACCGAGAAGACCGTGAAGCTGAAGGGCGGGTCCCACAGGCATGTCCTGCGTCTCATAAGCATGAATTTGGCGCCGTCCGACGTCATGCAGAGGGTGGTCGGTAGCGACATGGGCCAGATACCGCCTTCCAGCCAGTGGTCCACCATCTCCCTGCTCTCCCAGGAGCTCATGCTGTGGACGTCCTCCGATCGCCAGTGCTTCTTCTGCGTGCTCGAGCTGCCGGCATGCTGGAGGATGTCCATGGCCTTCAGGCAGGCGGTCCTCCCTGGGGCGCTCGTCGGGCGCCCGCGCCAGTCTCGCGCGTGCGTCGCCAGCGCCGCCGTGGCCGTGGGCTGGGTCTCCGCTACCGGCGTGGCTCAACGCATCCATTGGAATGTGATCAAGCGCGGGCGCCCCCTTGCAGCTGGCCTTGCCCCTGAGGCCGAGTGGCGACGTGATCGCGGAAGCCCGCTCACTGCCCGGGTCTCCGTCGCGACGGCCCGGGAGTTTGTATGCAGAGGACATCGACATTCAGGAGCTTGTCGAGGGGGCGGAGGCGGAGGCGCTCAAGGGCTCAGCGGCCCCTCTGCTCGCC